GCAAGCTTGTTCCTAACTTAAATAAATAAATAAAAGAATCGTGTAACTGACACTACACCTTCTCTGAGGACTGAAGAAAGGGCAGCTGCAAAACTCTGAAGCTAAGAAGTGACAGGCAGTCTCAGAAGTGGCCTCCTGTCTGTCCTGGTTGTTGGTCTTGGTGACTCCCAAACACTAAACTTGGGCTTAAAAGGTTTTCAGAACCTCCTCCCACTTTATATCTTTCTGCTTGAGGTCCAACTCTAGGCCTGCACACACCGGGCAGCTCTGCTGCTGTGCTACACACCCTGCCTCGCAACTCTCCCTGCTCGACATTTTCCTGTCCTTCGGCGCTGTCGCCGTTCTGTTGAACAGTCATTAGTTTATGATTCTGAGGCTGGTCTGGCTTTATGAGATCAGAGAAGTAACCATGGTCATAAGGTGACTGGGAAATGTAATAAGAAGTATCCAGAGCTATTAGAGGATGTTTTTTATCCCCACCAGCTCTTCAGGGGTCACAGCAAAGAGAAGATGCCAGATCAGTAAAAACAGTAAAGACTCAACCACTTGGTTCTGGCTTTAAAAAAAAAACAAAGGCTGAAGGAGACACAAGAAACTTCCACTTTACAAGTTAGACACATCTTATCTCGAAAACACCAAGACCCAGGAGAAAATGGGGATCTTAAACTAAGAGGGGATGAACACACAGGTCCTCCTGCTCCCCAACACCTGCAACCAATACTGATCAATAGTGAGGCCCCAAGCAATGGGACACCGGGAAGGAAAAGAACAGAACAGTTACCTGCGCACCCAAGATGGATGCTGTACAACCCATGCTACCCACCCTGTAGCCTTCACCCCATGTTCCCCACCCCACACCTCAGACCCAGATCTTGTCCCTGATTGGGAAGAGGCAATCCTGAAAACCAAGATAGTGGGAGAGCCCCTACCCAGACGAAGATTCATTGCCAATACGAAAGCCAGTTTGAGACAAAAATCTTACAAATGATCTCTGAACACAGAAAAGACTGTGAGAAGATCCACAGAGAGACTTGAGGCTCCAGTCTTTGCCGTGGCCTTCTTGATGCCAGAACACCACTGAAGGGCTGCCCTGTCTTATCTGTACCCTTGAATAGGGCAATGGAACTAGTAAAAACGGATGCATCTGGCAAAGGAGAGAGGATTCCATATGACATTTATCAGTATGAGGCACAGGGGTCATGGGCACAACCCCAGAGAGCTCTTGGTCCTGGTAGGAATGAACATTGGTCACCAACTAACTGAAGATGGTGAGGATTCCACATAGCTGGTTAATGCTAAAGAATGGTAAGCTATGTCAGAAACAGTCTCCAACAGCACTGAAGCCCACAAGCCCCCTCCCCAACCTTACTTCCTACAGTTTGGAGACAAGGCTGAGTTAACAGAATAAACCTGCCGGTGATCCCAGTGTGTTCTTTATTAGAAGGCATGGAGGCTCAAAATGGAAATAGTGTTGAAATAGACCATCAGCAATGTCACTTAATAGCATCGCCATATCTGGGACACTCCAGTTATTTGTGATACCTCAAAATGTGATTTCTGCAAGGATCAAGAGTCCTGCAGCCCCAGGCCAGACCCACAAAGTGTTTAAGAGGCAAAGACTTCCTGTAGATACCATGCCCACTGCAGACCAAGACCATGCCTACTGCTGACCACGCCCACTGCTGACCACGCCCACTGTCAGCCACGCCTACTGTCTATTGCTTCCTCCTCTGAGCCTCTCTTCACCGCAGCTTGGTTCTCACCTGGGAACTGCCCTTCCCTGCACTTCTGACCTCTCCCTGATAATCAGCCTTCCTCTTCATTCCAGCTGCCACAACCTCATCCCAGCTCCTGTCTCCTGTCCTAAATCACTCTGAGAGCTTCATGGAAAGAACTATTATCACTCCAAGGGAAAGGGCAGCCTCCCCTTGATCAAATTTGTCCAGGTCAAGCATCATTAATGTAAATGTAATGTGATGACCCTAAGGAATTGTCAAAGCTCTCGTCACCATCCATGTTGCTATCTGTCCAGGAAACACCAGTTAAATCCACAAAGGGGCTATGCTTTCCTCCATCAGGACAACATTGGGTGTGGCAATGAATCACACACTACACAGTCTTCAGTCTTGCTATTGGCAGGCGCTTGCTGCTTCACCTCATGCTTAACTGGAAATTCCTACATTAACTCCCAGCTTAGAAGTGGGATTGTTAGCACAGAAGGCCAGTCTCAGAATCCCAGAGAAAGGTCTTGCCCCAAGGGTAACCTACTGACAGTTCAAGGAACATGTGGGGCCACCAAGGTGACATTTCTTAGACAACTTCCAGATGGCTGAATAAACATTTTTCCAGGAATCAGTTCAGCCCAGGGGCGAAGTTCTGAGGGAAAACTGGCACTCCATATGAAAGGCATTGATATGGCTTGGAATGTGGTGAATATTATTTTGTAATGGTCTCTTGTCTTCTATGCTAAGATGCACTTCCTGCCTTTCTGAACTATCTCCTCAGCATTAACAAGCTGCCTTGAGATCTTTGTAAACAGCAATCTCATCCTCATCAATCCCTCAGAAGAATGCAGGCATGGCATGTTTTATGTTTAATGGTAGTGCACTTACTTGTATAGGCTCATGAGGAATTTGTTTTACTCTTTACTAGTGAATATCTGCCTAAATTGATGGATGGGGGATGTCCATATATATATATATATATATATATATATATATATATATATATATATGTTTCTCTTACTGGTTGACGATTAAAATGCTGTTTGGTCAATAGAGGCAGGAAGATAGGCGGGACTAGGAGAAATCTGTGAAAGGCACACAGAGAGAGACCACAGGAAGATGCCACATAGCCACCAAAAAAAAAAAGAGTAACAGGTCTGGGCATTCTCCAGTAAGCCAAGACCAGGTGGAAATATATAGATTTATAGAAATGGATTAATAATTAAGACATAGCTAGCCAAAAGGAAGCCCCAGTCATCGGCCAAAAGTTTAATAATTAATGTAAGTCTTTGTGTGCTAATTTGGGGCAAATCAGCTGCAGGACTTTGTGGGATAAGAAACTCCAACTACAGTTGATGGTGTGGTCAAAGCCGTACCTGGGTCATGCTTAAGAAGCCCTCCTGTCTTCGGAGGTGAAGATCACTATGACACCATAGGCTTTCCTCATTGGAGAAGTAAAGCGGTCCCCCAGAAAATGGGGCTGTGTTACTTCACTATGAGGAGCACCAAAGCCTTACCACATCTGGTGCCCTTTCTGTCACCTCATCTATGGATACAACAGGCAGAACAACAGAGGACTTCTGCTCCCTTAGAACAGAGGAGCAAAGAAAAGGAAAAAAATCAAAAATAAACCTTTTGAATGCAGAACACCATGGAATCCAGAATAGCTAGGGCTACCACAACTTCCTAATAAGACTATGTAAAGGATTCCAAGGTAGAGAGACAGGTGGGACATAGTTTGTTGGGGGCGGGGGGCTTCTCCAGATCTTAAACTATCACTACCAGCCACAAAAACCCAGAGCAGACAGTGTCCATCACATGACCAGTATATAACATCTAGTGAGTGACATTCCATCAATAAGGGCAAATTAAGGGGACACTGTTCCCACTGTGTACCGTGCCTGACTTCAGGCACCAGTCATGGATGCTTTTAGCTGATGTAACCTGACTGGAATCGTAGGATCTGACCCACATCAAAGGAAGAAATGAAGTCACACAACCCTAGAGATAATCCTCCACATTGAGCATCCTCTAAGCCATTAGAGGAACACCCTAATGGTCCCAGTGTGGGCCTCGCTCACAAAGCCACCCAGGCTACTACCCAGTGCACACTTCTGCTCTCTCACACACTCTCGCTTCCTAAATTAGCTTTTCATGCTGGGCTTTTGTGCGCAGCCTCTAAGTTCTTTTATTGATGAGGTCGAGGACTTGAGCTAAAAAGGGTCTGACTTCCCCAGCTGACATCTTCAAGGCCTGCAACTTCAACAGGATGGCCTTGGGTTTTCTCACCCAAACCAATGAGTTATCATACAGCATATCTGAGTTTTCTTACTGCAATTATGTAAATAAATTGGCCTCAAACGCCATGAGATTGGCTAGTGGGAAATTGTTAGTAATTTTTGCTGGTTACTTATAATCACAATGTTTCACGATCTATTTTGCTCTTCTGACTAAACTTCCCAGAGAGCCTATAAAGTTTCTGAAGTGGAGTTTCACAGACTAGGACTTGACGTCTTTACCAACTTCCCTTAGCAGAGACCACGTGGCGAGTAAAAGTTGTATTATCTCTCATCTTGTTCATTTCCTTTGGCACAGGAAGCACCTAGCTTTCGAAGGCATATGCTCACACATACACATGTACATTGGCAGGCATGCACATACACTGCTTTCTGTGAACCAGTCAGACACAGCTAAGAACCACCGGTGCCACTAAAGGAAAATTCAAGCCTGGATTTCAGAAGGGGGCAATGGCCAGTGGGCCATATTATTTCTCCATTAGAAAACATCCAAAGAAACCCCAGTGCCCCAGCCCCCTCAACCCTGGACCAGAAACAGTGGTCCCAGGGAGCTGCTCTCTTTCGTCTGTCCCTTGACTTTATGCCGGGCTCCAGCAGAACGTATTGATAAAGCAAGTCTTAGGGGAAATCTCTCCTCCGCCATGCCATCGCCGCCGTTTCTGTGATGTTTGGTTTTGAGAGGTTCAAAGGATTCTAGAGTTTGCAGCTGGAGAAAGATTAAACCCAAGGGCAGGCCTGTGGTCTTAGATGCTGAGAACCTGCCCCGCCCACGGCAGAGTTAAACTACCATCTAAAAGACACCAGCAATACACCCTGGTCTAACAGATTTGTTTTAAAAAGCCTCTCTTGTTCTTCTTTTTCTCTTTGACAGTAGAAGCTTACTTTCCAAGTCAGCTCTGTCACAAGCTTGACTGCTGGCCAAGGAGACAGGCTTAACCATGCAAGCCTGCCCTGACCCCGTGACCCCGTGACCACTCACCACTCTTTTCTGCCTTGGGCTTTGGTGGCTCGGGCTCAGGCAGACACGGACAGGGCCCATCGCAGAGGGAGCTGAGGCTTTTGCCTGTGGAACAAGCATGGAATTCCAGTTTGCACTGCAAGAGAGAGACAGGGCAGACCATCAGAACACAGATAGCACAGATTCCTGCTTGGCTTCCTGGGAAGCGACCGGCATCCTGGCTTCAAGGAGACAATGATGGGGATGGGAGAGGCCTATCCTGTCTGGCTTTCAGAACTCTAACTTGGGATTGGTCTTCAAAATGTTCCAGACAATTCCCGAAACACAGAGGAAGCACTGGAAAGCTAATTTTAATTAACGGTAGCCTCAACTGTCATCATTTATAAAAGACGATCATTATCTGAAATTTAATGCGTGTGGAGTTCTATATGACCCATGAAGCCCTCCCACTTCAGCCCGGAAGGCTTCCCAGCAAATCCTCCCACACGGAGGAAAATGCTTGCGAACATTCTCGGTAACCAGCTCTCTCATTACTGTGACAGACGCTGGTCACAAACAACTTAAGAGGAGGGAGATTTGTTTTTCTCATGGATTCATCCCATCACCGTGGGAGGCTATGATGGTGGACAGAAAGCAGAGAGACAAAGAGGGGAGCCCAGGACAGGACAGAAGACACAGGCTGCAGGGACATTTCCCTCCTGGCTCTCTTTATCCAACTAGCTTCCATTTCTTAAAGCGTCCGAAAACAGCATCCTCCGTGGGAGACCAAACTTTCCACACCCCAGCCTATGAGGGACAGAGGACAGCCACCTTCATCCCAGGTCTGGATGGTGCACATCTGAAGCACCCCGCCCCTTCCTCTGGAGCAATGCGCAATGAAAGCTGGTGCTCCCCTGTCTGGGATTGAAGCCTATACTCATCTGTGGGCTGGAGCCCTCCTATAACTAGCATGGACACATAGGAAATGTTTACCTAATTCTAGGATTCAGCGTTAGAGGTTACTAAGCCACAACCTCCTGTCATCTTTTATCGGTACTGGCTTTTGGATTCCTTTCTCCTAACTCTTTACATATAAGTCTCAACAGACTCAAAACATAAGTGAAAGAGAGAAAACGAATTTACAGGTGTCCTAGACCACAGTGGGTGCCACGTTATTACTTCTATATCATGAATAAAGAAATTGAAGCTCTCCTAGGTTAAACAACTCATGAAAGACCTCAGCACTCAGCCAAACGCTTGTCTGGCTTCAGAGCTGAGCCCTGAAGGGTCCTGCGATAGTTTGGGTCACGTGGCTTGGGGTTCAGAGTACTGAAACCGTACCCAGTGCGGTTGATTCTGCACCTTTGCCTTTGGCCCAGATGCGTTATCTGACTTGCCTCCCCCTCTGCCTGTCAATTTCTCAGGATCAAGGCTTGCATATAATCAGTCTCCCGCAAATGCCCAGGGCCTGGCAACCTGGTGGAGGTTCAAAGAAAGGAGAGATAGAGGGAACTTTTGCGCCCACTCAGCATGCCTCTCTTATCAGGGGCCGTGGGGAACCATTTACAAGAAAGGAAGAGCAGATACAGCCCCTGCCTTGGAAAACATAAACCACCATCCCGTAAGAAGCCACCAGAATTTGCAGAGCAACTGGCTGGAGTACAGGTGGGCCTAGCTGTGAGAATGAGATGTCCAGTCCCCAGACTAACTATAAACCCAGGCGAGCGGTGCTTTACAGCCAGCTCTAAAGGCTCTAAAACCACTGGGTGTAACTCCAGCTGTCACCCACCCAAGGGGCAATGGCGGAGCAGTCGTACAGAGAGCGGGCTCCATCTCCATGCAAAGCTCCCTTCTATATATACATCACCCTGAATTGCCTAGCATGTGACTAGTGCGGTCACAGGACAGGGGCGTTTTGTGAAAAGAAGCCAGGCCCAGGCATCAGACATCGCTCGCCCTGACCTTGGAGTAAATGAAAGCCTATTCATGTAAAGCCATGTGGACAGGACTGCGTGGTAAGGCCGACTTTTGAGCATACTCAGCCAGAGCAAAAAGACATCTGGGTATGGGGTGTGCCAAAGGCCACCTGTGTCAATGGTCTCTTCTAACAGCACGGCGCCCTGGCTTCATTTCTGAGGCTGTGATAAACACCGACAGGAGGTAACCTGTGGGGAGAGTTACTGGGTATCAGGTTGCAGTCCATCCCGGCAGGAGCTGAAGCAGAGACCAGGAGGAACACTGCTCATGGCTTTGCACCCCATGGCTTGCCCAGGAGTGGTATGCCACTCAAGGTAGACTGGACACTCCCACACCAAACAGTAATCAGGAAATTACTGGACAAACTTGCGGTTCCTCACTTGAGGCTCTCTCCTCCCTGGAGACTCTAGCTGTGTCAGGTTGACAAAATCTAAGCTGCATCCTTCGCATGTGTGCTGTGGGATCGGCGACCACTGTGGCCAGCTGGCTCCCTCTCCCTCCATGTCCATCCTCTTCCTCCTCTGGGCTGGCTCTCTGTAGTGACCCCCAAGTTTCAGATCCGAGGATTGCAAACTAGTTTTTAAACAGACTCTCCAAGTCTTACTTAGGCAAGAACAGTCTTTTAAGTGTAAATTTATTTTTAAAATGCTTAAATCTCTCCTGAAGTTCCCCATAAGACCTTTCCATACTAGTTTTGTAACTTACTGCTTACGTCTGTTATAGATTTAAACATTTTCCCTCACCGGACCCCACCCTCCTTGAGGGGGAATCTACGCCTTGCTCATGCCCGTAGCTCTTTGTCCGGTGACCCACACCTGCCTTCCCTGCCCATGGTCTCAGCACCACGACCGTGAGCCTCCGACAGACTCTGACACTCGGCGGCGGCAGTGCCAGAGCATGCTTCGGCAGACGCTGGCTCCGGCAGACGCTCCCCAAGCCGCCACTCATCACTTCATCTCTGCTTCTCATCAAGCTTTGCAAACGCCACATGCCACAGAGAGCTGTTTCTCCTGCCAGAGGCTCGGGGCAGAGGAGCAGAACAGAAGCCAGCCAGGGGCTGTTGTTAGCTACTGTGTGTGTGTGGGAGACCCGGCTGGCTTCCTTCCAGACCACAAAGCACAGCAAGGAAAGCCCCGCCTCCTGTCTTATCTCTGACTTGATGTGACCCACAGTGAGCCTGGCACACAGTAGGTATCCAAGAAATCGAACAATAGGCAAATTGCAGGAAGAGGGTAGCAACGTGCACTCCGTAAACTAAAACCTCCATTCTGTCCTGGAGCGTCCTGGTCTGCCTGCAAACTGTAAAGCCTCCATTCCATCCTGGAGTGTCCCGGTCTGCCAGCACGAGGAGGTTAGCACGCTGGTACCCCATCTCAGCTGTTTATCCCACCCCACACTCCGGTGTCTCTGTCTGTCCTGAAGCTCCACACTCAGCAGGTGTCTCTCAGCCTCATGCTTGCCCCAGCCTGCTGGCAGTCAGCCCAGTCCACCTGCGTCCCAGCAGCCAGACACCTGTGTCCTGTGTGGCCCTGCTTGACCAGGAACCCTAGCCAAGACCTCTTGCAAGCAAGCCTGCTTGGCTGGGACACAGCATTCCCTTCCATGTTCCCTGGCAACCACCTGCAGAGACCGCCCGCCCGCCTCTCCACATTCCAGACAGAAGCCAACGAGAAAGCAGTACTCGCTCCACCAGTCAAATTCAAGGTCCAAGGGTACTTTATCTTCCAGGACAATACTTGGCATGTGAGTGAAGCTCAAAAGGCTGCTATTCTAGAGGACCTGGGTTCGATTCCCAGCACCCACATGGTAGTTCACAACCTTCTGTGACTCTGGTTCCAGGGAATTAGATGCCTTCTTTTGGCTTCTATGGGCACAAAGTAGTCTTGTAGCACATGCACATACGTGTAGGCAAAACAGTTAATTCATGTATGCAAAATACTTACACACATAAAATAAAAATAAATTTAAGAAGTTTTAAATGGCTATAATCCCACCATTTTTTTTTAAATCTTTGAATTTGGAAATTCAAAACAGGCCATACATACATACATACATGCATGCATGCATACATACATACATACATACATACATACATACATACATACATAGTAAAAACTCATAACAGGTGTGTGACAAATGCCATTAAGCTATGGTGACTTCTCTAGGGGACAGGGCAGGGCAGGGCACATGAAGCATAGCAAAAATGGGTGATGTTTGCTTCCCATTGTAACTCAGCTTTCTTTGTTAACCTTGCCCCTGGGTGTAACAACTTCTATAAGTAATGCACATATTAAGCATCATACACTTTGTAGTGAAATGAGAACAAAATGTACAGGCTTCTCTGGAGGTGGTAACCAACCCAGAGCCATGCTGCCCCACTGCAAGACCCTGTGGGGAGCCCCTGTGGGGAGCCCCTGTGGGGAGCCCCTGTGGGGAGCCCCTGTCACCCCCCCCCACACACACACACCCTGGCTGGAAGTTCTGAATTGGAGTTCTGAACCACACCGGGGCAGAGACGTTCCGAGGGCCTGATGCTGGAGACCAGGGCATTTCATCAATGTTCCTTTCTGGAGGCTCTTCTAATCTATCTCCCAGGAAGTAAGCAAGCCTCCCAGAAACAGTGCCATCCTTCCCCTGCACCTGAGGAAATAGCGAGGCTGAAAGGAGATTTCCATGCCACCTTACACAGAGGGGCCCGGTGGGTCTCAGAGAGAAAGACTTCCTGCTGAGGAAGCTCTACAAAGGCAGTGAGGCCTCAGCACCAGGCAGGTATTCACCCCGCCCCCCCCCCCAGGCAGACTGCGTGGAGCTGGCTGGACAGTGCAATCGCATGTGCTGGTTAGGAGTAATCATGAGGCAGGTATGCCGTGCCCTTAGTTCAGGCCTGCTAAGAAAATGGCAGCCAAGGGGAGAGAGGTTGCAGCAAGCCTTTCTACCGTCCCACCCCAGAAACAGGTGCATAGCCCCGAGATGCCGGCTTCCTCCAATTGAACAGACGCAGCCTTGATTTATCCAGCTCCCAACTTAGCTGTAATCACAAGACATACGCAGCAGCAGGACGTTTCTCTTTGGGAAAGGGGCAGCAGAGAGGGGGAGCCCAAGAGAGTGAAGGAGTCTGCAGGGGAGGTGGGGGAAGGGAGACAGGGAGTCCTAAGCATCTTCCCAGCATCACAGGGTACC